CGGCGTGCTGCAAGGCCCGGGGCAGCGTGTGCGACGGGCTCCCGCCGGGGCTCCGCATGCCTCGGCCTCAGCCGGCCAGCGCCCCCGCTCCCGCCGGGCCCGCCGGCCTGCGGCCCTCCATGGCACCCCGCGTCCGCTGGCGGCGGAGGGAACGGCCGGGGAAGGGACGGCAGCGACGCGGTCCCGCCCGCGCTCGGGCCAGTCTGGACCCGGCGCCCGCAGAGCCCGCCCCCTGGGGCCCGAGGGGCGGGGCGCGCCCGGGTGGGGGGCGGAGACATCGCCGGTGGCCACGCCCCCGTGACGCCCGGGCCGGGGCCGCCGGCGGGTGGCGAGGTCTACTCTCCGGCCCGGAGGCCTCCGCGGTCCCGGGGCCCGAGGGCGAGGCGGAGGGAGGCCACGGGAAGCGGAAGGGAACCGGGGCCGCGCGCTCCCAGCTCCCACGGGCGCGCGCGTGCCTGCGTGTCGGAGCCCCCTGGCCGCAGCTGCTGGGACTCCTGCCGGGAGCCTGTCTAGCGGTTTCCGAGGGAGCGAGCCAGTTTTCCTCTGTTTGGAGGGCGGAAGAAGCGCCTTCCCGGAGAGCAGGGTCCCCCAACGGGTTCTAGATAACGTGGCTGTGAAGAGCCACTCCTCGGAGGATGGGCCTTCTGGGCCCTGACTGAGTGCCGAGCCCTGCAGGGAAGACCTCTGTTCGGGGCTCCTGCTACCAGGCTCCACCGGTCAGGGGATGCAGATAGACTCAGGTCTGACAGTGCTGGGAAAGAGAGGTGGGGAATCAGGGATGCTACGTAGAGTTCTTATTTGAGGTGGTAGGTAGAGACGGAGGAAGCCACTGAAAATACTGCAACGATGCAAAAGAAAAACAAACAAACTGAGGCCCGAGAACCGGGATGTCGACGACACCGCCCAAATGTGGCGTTCCAGTAGAGGCTGAAAATACGGATATGGCATCTACGTGAGTCGTCGATCCTACGAGTTTTGACGTTGGCATACAGGCAGCACTTAAAACCATGGATGGGTGGTGGTAGGGAGCTAAATACTCGCTGCTCTCTTCTCGGTACACCGTAGGCTGGCTCGTTTGTCCAGGCCTTATGTTTGGGTCGGTCTCCATGACACATTCTGCCAGTGAATCATGACTAGCTTTTAGATGCCAATGCAAAGCCTTCCAAAATCATTTTGCCCTCTGCCGTGTCAGTTATCAGTGTTCCGGAGACTGAGCTCTGCGAGTCTTCATCGTGGGAAGGAAGATAGTGAAGAATAAGGATCTCAGTGACTTCATGATGGAAATGTTAAGCTACCAAAGAGGGGAAAAAACAAAACAAAACAGTGACGTGTAAGAGTTTTATTGTTAGGGCAGGTCCTTGTTGCTTCTGGCTGGTATGAATGAGAAGAGGTGTGGGAAATGAAATTTTGAGACATCCTTCGGCTGCTTAGACTCCTGTGAAGAGACTCTGGAAGACTGCCTCAGTGTTACTTAACAGTATTACTATATTACATAGAGATGTTATTAGTACTGAAATTATTATCATCAGGAGCCCAGTCACTCCCGGTTCCCACTGTTTCTGTTCTCTGTCCCTGCTCCACTTCCATACCACCAGTTCCATAGGCGAGCCTTGAGTTAGCCTCCAGGTGACATGACAGACGACTGTGATCCAAACGCAGAGCCCGTGGCTCGGAGCCAGCTCATGGGCCGCCAGCCGGGCTGGATGCATTCACAGTGCATGCCTGTCCAGCTGATCATCTCTCTCCGCCAGACCGCACTCTAAGCCGCAGTAGGGTGTTTCCAGTCCAGTCCCTCTGTAGTTTATTTTTCATAGAATTGTGAAAATTACATTTTACCGCGGGAAATGAGCCATGCGTGGGTCCACACACAGCGGCCTGAAACCCTGAGGGAAAAAGCTACCTCTTCCTTCACCTGACCTACAAAGGTGTTTATGACCTCACCTCCTGCCATTCCTACCTCACCGCCCCTGGCCCTGTCACACACTAGCAACCCTGGCCTCCCCTCTCACCCTCTGGCACGGGCAAGTTTCCCATTCCAGATTGTTCCAACTCTGTCCCTGCTGCTCTCTCTCTGGTGAACAATCCTCCTTTGTCTCTCAGAAAGCCTAGTTTCACTTTTCTTATCGTTTGAAGCCCTGCCAGCCTCTCCTCAGAGATGACACCCATGATGTCTCATCTGAAGGACGAGTCTGCCTGCCCAAGAGTTGTGGTTCTCCCTACTTTCCTTCCACCACAGTCCCCACCTGAAGTTGCCTTGTGCATTTACACAAGTGAAGACCCTGTTAAAATGCCATTTTTACTATTTTGTGAGCCCCAATAGCCTAGCTTTGTAGAATACCTGATAGACATTTTTACTAATAATTTTTAAGTTAACCTCTCCTGTTGTCTTTCTCTCCCCCCACCCACTCTCAATAGCCTCCTTCCCCCTTGATAATTCCCTTCTGCATCCTTGTAGCAATTCAGATATTCTATAGTCGTCTCCTTCACCCCTCTCTGCTTCCTTCAGTGCTCTGACTTGTTTCATTATGCACACACTCACACATGAACACATTTCACATATGTGAGTTTATGTAGTGTTTGTCTTTGAATCTGGCTTAGTTTTCTTAACACAAGGTGTTCCATCTTTCTGCAACATCATAGCTTCAGTTCTCATTGGAGCTGAATAAAATTCCCTGTATATATGTAAGAAAATGTGATATATATATATATATATATATATATATATATTATGTAAGAAAATGTGATATATATATATATATATATATCACATTTTTTTATCCACTCATATTTGGTAGGTGTATAGGGTGGTTTTATTTCTTAGCAGCCATAAACATGAATGCACAAGAACCTCCATGGTAGGACACAGGGTCCTTTGAGTATGCACTCCCAGGAGTGGGGTAGCTGGGTTTTTGTTGTTGTCATTTGTTCGCTTGCTTGCTTTTTGTTTGTTTGTTTTCCTTATTTTTTGAGAAGCCTCCATTCTGATTTCTATACTGGCGGGCGGTACTGTAGTAGCTTGCCCACCAGCAGTGAGTAGGGTTTCTTTTCCCCCCACATCTCAGCACTATGTGTTCTCCGTTGTTTTCTCGTTGATAAAAATTCTGACTGGAGTGAAATGGAATCTCAGGGCAGTTTTAATTTGCGCTTCATGGATGGCAAAGGAATTAATTGGACACTTAACACTTCTTCCTTAGAAAATTGTCTATTCGAATCAGTAACTTGTTAACTGATTAGAAGATTTGGGAGTAGTTAACTTTTTCAGTTCCTTATATATTCTAGAGATTAACCCTTGTGTGGCACAGAGTTGAAATGACTTTTTTTTTTCTCTATTCTGTAGGATTTTTTTTTTCATTCAGGTAACTATTTCCTTTTCTGTGTTGAAACTTCTTCATTTTGTGTAATCCCGCTTGTCAATTCCCAGTTTATTTCCTGTGCTGAGAGTTCTTTTCAGAAAGAGCTTTTTTTTTTTTTTCAGATGTTTTTTTCCTAGCAATTTCAAACCTTCTGATCTTATATGAAAATCTTTGATCCGTTTTGAACTGATTTTTCTTCTGGGTAAGAAATATGGGTCTAATTTCATATTCAATTTTCTTGGCAACATTTATTGAAGAGGTCGTCATTTTTCCAATGTATGTTCTGGCATTTTTATTAAAAAATTAGATGGATATGGCTGTGTGTGTATTTGCTTACTGGTCCTCTATTTTTTTAATTTTGAATATCTGGTATATGTACATGTCTCTGTGTGTGTGGTGTGCCAGTCCATGCAGTTTTAATTGCTATATGGCCGCATCATGATTTGCTACGTTGTCCGTTGGTTATTTACTTATTGTGACACTGTCACTAGAAAATGGAGCATGTCTCGTCACACGGGAGGCTAGTTTTTTAAAAGAAAGCAACCAAGATTCATGATTCTATAGAGAAGTGAAATTCAAGGCGACCTAAATATGAAACAGAGTTGGGTTTATTAAGGATCGAAAGGTTCAGCCAGGTGTGGTGGCACACGCCTTTAATTCCAGCACTCAGGAGGCAGAGGCAGGCACATCTTTGTTCAAGGCTGGCCTGATCTACAGAGCGAATTCCAGGAAACGCAGGGCTACCTGCCTTTCTGAAAGACAGAGAAACCCTGTCTTGCAGAAAGAAATAAAGAAAAGAAAGGTTTTCCAAGAGAGAAAGAGTAAGCACACCCAAAGGACAAGCGTGGTCTTCTCTAAGAACCCAAAATTAGCTTTTATTACAATTGGTATATATGGGATTTGGGGGACTCTCAAGTTACATCTCCAAGGATTGCTAAGAAAAAACCCCCTTCTTCCTCACATTCCCTAAGAGTGTAATTTGTAATAAGGGTAAAGGTTTAAGAAGTGTTCTCTGTAAGGCATCATTTAGTTCTAGAGAGTGGGCATTGGGAGCTTATGATTACATCTTGTGTTAGCCTTAGGTGAGCCTCGCCTTACTTACTGTTCTTGACACCCTTGATTGAGGTGTCTCTAAGAATGCATCGTTTGGCCGTAAGTGAGAGCAATTTGTTTACTTTTTTGGGCAACATGTCTTTTAGAAGGGCCGTTAGGTCCTTATCAGCGAGTCTCAAGTCCCCTACCTTTCTCAGCAGTAAAATCAGATGAGTCTGGGGAACAGCACCCCCTTCCTTCCTTTTTCCACCATGTTGCCACACTTCTCTAATTCTATCCCAACTCAGTAACTCCATCATCACTCTTTCTGTTGAGGGTTGCTTTGGCTATTCAGGATCTTTGTGCTTCCGTATGAACTAAGATTTTTTTCTAGTTCTATGAAGAATATCATTGAATTTTCATAATAGCATTGAATCAGTAGATCATTTTTAGTGTAGCCATTTTCAAAGTATTAATTCTGCCAAACCACAAGACATGAGAATCCACCTCTGACCTTCTCTTTAATTGCTTTCTTTGGTGTTTTTAAAGTTTTCATTGAAGTCTTTTACATCCTTGGTTAGGGGTCTCAGTTTGTCTTCCTGTTAGGATAAAAATACCCTTGATGAAAAGCAACTTAAGGGAGAAGGGATTTATTCTGTCTCGAGGTACATCCTACCAGGGAAGTCTTCAACCGGAGCCTGAAGCAGTTAGTTGTGTCACACTCACAGTCAGAAAGCAGAGAGCAGTGAACGCACGCTGACGGTCAGCTCCTCTCCACTTACGTAGTCCAAAGTCCTAGCCAGGGTCTAGCGGGTGT